GGAAAAACTATTTCACTAGGAGGGTGGTGGAACACTGGAATGCGTTACCTAGGGAGGTGGTGGAGTCTCCTTCCTTGGAGGTTTTTAAGGCCCGGCTTGACAAAGCCCTGGCTGGGATGATTTAGCTGGGAATTGGTCCTGCTTTGAGCAGGGGGTTGGACTAGATGACCTCTTGAGGTCCCTTCCAACTCTGATATTCTATGATAGCAAAATTAAACCACCCTATCTGAAATTCTGAGATATTTTGCCTGTGTTCTCAATCTGGGCATGGAGCAAAGGGTGGGAGATAATAATGTTACCTGACTATCCTATGTCAGTCCATAGCTGTGGTGGCATGGACAGGAGTCCCACAGAGTTAAAGCATTAATCTGGGGTTACATGTAGTCAGTGAAATAAACACTTGGTGTAAAAATAATAGAAGCTCAAGAATGAAGGCCATGGAAAAATCTGAGAGCCTGCCTGGACCAGTCCAAAACTTAGGACCAGAAGAGGAGAAAGAAAAGCCATGCCTGACAACAGAACTGGTCTCACCAGTGATTCCCTTCCCCACCACCCCCAAAATGTGAAGTATTTCACTAGACAATCTCCCAGAAGAATCCACTATTCATCTATTACACACAACACCAACAGTATAAAATAAGACACTTACTTTAGAAAATGTGCACAGTCAATTAGTTCACAAAGTTTCTCTGTTTTCTTATCCCAAACTTCCACAAAATGGCTGTTTTTCTTAGCCAAGTAGATGGACTTGTCCACTGCTATTGAAATAATGTTTGCATCACTGCAAGCCTTGTGACAGAATCTAAGAAAGAGGAAAAAATATTAAATGTATTCTATATTCCTAATAGGTAAGCTCTACCTACAATTACAGACCCACGAAGCCTAAAAACAAAGTGGGTCTGGATCAATTTAAAAATAAAGGATCTGATCTGAATGTTTACAATCTGTGGAGTTACACCAGTATAAAACCATTTTAAGTGAGATCAGATTCAGGCCTATAATGTAACTATTGGTCCAAGATATGGGAAATCTTAATGTGCTTGCTCCTGCTCCCAACCAAGTCAATGGATGTTTTACCACTGAATTCTGTGGAAGCAGAACCAAGTTCAGTATCTATTAACAAATTTTCCCTAAACATATTTGTCAGGTCACAACAGAGCAAACACCGCTTCTTCCTATTCTAACAAAGGGCCAGATCCTGCAAGCTGCTAAGGACTTTTGACTTCTTTTGGAGAGCTGCTCAGCACAACACAGGACCAGACCCAAAATGGGTGCAGCCTGATTCTGCCCAGTCTGCTTTACCTCTGTTTTTAACTCTAGTAGCAACCTTTTTGAGTACTTAGTAATTTGAATCTCTTACAAATCCCATGATTGTGAAAACTTTTATCATAATATCTCTGCAATTTGAAAAGAGCATCCTTCTGCCTCACTGATTTGGGGTGAGGTCTGTACACTCAACAACTTCAGCCTCACAGTCTGATATATGAATAAGACCTTTGGTATCTTCATCACAATAAAATTTTAGCCTCTTAATAATTAGAGGTGAGGAATCATATGCAATGTATGTATATTGGGCAGAGACGTATACACATAACTTATAAGTATAATTATATAGGGTAAATCCTATGCTCAATGCATGTACATGGCTCTCAATTAAATAAATCGGAGTTGAGCAAATTCTTCCCATGTGTGCCTTTGCCCAATAGCATTTATACATTCATAAAACATACGTCTACTTCTGCCACATTTGTAAAATAAAAATGCACACTACTTAATGTTTGCTTTAAAACTAGAACAAATACCTTAAGTATCAGTTGATCTTTTATTTTTTTAAAATATTATTAAAGGGAAAAAAATGGAAATAAGGTATTTACAAAGAACAAGCAATAGGATTCTCAAACAAAACACTGACAGAAAATGTTAATGAAAACAAGAAGAACCAAATTACATTAGTATAAAAAACTCACAGCTGACTTGTCTTTGTCTCAATCAGTTTTTGAATAGATATATCACCAGATAATGCTATAATCTTTGTTCCACAGCTTCCCCAGACTATATTTTTTTCAGATGCATATGTGGATTCACTTAAGCACATAAGTGGTGTGCTGACATTCCCTATAGTTAATATCTTCAAAGGTGCTGCACCCTTGCACTGTAAGAAGAAAATATACCCTCCATTAGAAACATACAGTATATACGTATACAAGGCAACTTAGAAATTGACAAATCAAACACAGAACACATACAGGGCCAGATTTTCTATACCTTTATAACACCTTTGTGCCACTGGGTTTTGGTTTCAGCAACCCCTCACCCCTTATTTTTTGGTAAACTGCTTGAAAGAAAGCTATTAGAAGTAGTTACTTTACATATTACTGATTACGTCTTTTAAAGAGAGTACTATACATGTTAAATTTACCTTTACTACTTGGTCTTCAAAAACTGCTATTTTGCCATCAGCTGTTCCCACCAGAAAAAAATTCTTCTGTTTGCTGAAATGAAATTATAAATTCCAGAATTGCCTCATGAAAGGACGTTCATTAAAGAAGGTTTAAAAACAGAAGTGTCTGGCAGATCAGAGGTTTTATTGGTCACTAAAAGTGAACAGAGGGCCACATGTCCAAAAAATAAGCATTTAAGCTCTGCCTGTGAGCAAGTAACACCTATGCAAAGTATGTAGCTTCAGGCACAATACACGTACAACCACCCATTTTGTGAATATTGCTGTGAAGTCAGATTTCAAAATGTAGCCCATAATGTTTAAACTCTAAATGATACCTTTGCTTTGAAAAAAAGTTGCAGTATAAACAGGTAACAGAATCTGACATTTTCTGAAGATGGTGTTTGTTTTTTCCATCTTCTGTATTAAATGCCCACAGGGAACCAGACTGTGTTCCTGCCACAACCCAGTTTTCTTTCTCTGTAGGAAGAGTCACTAAAGCCAAACACAAGATTCTTCCATCTGCAATGTCCTGTGTCAAGAAAAAATAATTAAAAGCAGCCTGGTTATTTTCAGCAAGGATTACACTACTGAATTGCATAAAGTAAAAACACTAGGCCCTTTTGGGAAGATGGCCTTTCTTCCCCATGGAAAGAAATCCCCAATTAGCAGAAGATACTTTCAACTTTTCCTCTGGCAACCTCTGGCATTCAAAATCCTGAAAATAAATGATTCATAAATAGCTATGATCCATGGCAGGCTGATGCCATGCCTGTCCTTTTAAGAATGCACCATCTGTCTGCCCAATACTGTGAGAAGGCCAGCATGCTGATCTAACACATTAATTAACTAACTACCAGGAACCAGCGGCGGCTCCAGGCACCAGCGCTCCAAGCACATGCCTGGGGCAGCAAGCTGCAGGGGGCGCCCTGCCGGTCCCTGCGAGGGCGGCAGTCAGGCAGCCTTCGGCGGCTTGCCTGCGGGAGGTCTGCCGGTCCTGTGGATTTGGCGGCAATTCGGCGGCGGGTACACCGAAGCCGCAGGACCGGCAGACCTCCCGCAGGCATGCCGCCGAATCCGTGGGACTGGGGACCTCCCGCAGGCAAGTCGCTGAAGGCGCCTGCCTGCCATGCTTGGGGCGGCAAAAAAGCTCATGCCGCCCCTGCCAGGAACACATACATTCTCAGCATATAGCAGCTAATGAAGATCTGAAAGCTGTGTTAGAGAAGCAAAGAAATGGAACTGCACTTATGGTACTTTCTGTGGCACAGTTTAATTGATGGAAATAAAGCACAGATCTAAATATTTCATTTTTAAAAATCCCGCCCTCCCCCCAGAAAGCAGCAGTTTCAAATGTAACACAGTATCTGCTATCTCATGCCTGTGTCTCACTACTGTCTATTTTGTCCCAGAAATCTTTCTTTTAATATCCAGTGCTGGTAGTGAAACACGTGCAACTTCGCATACCTAGCCTGGGTAATCCAGCTTCCATTTTTCAAATCTGCTTCTTGTGACAATATTGGATATGGGAACTCCAGAAACTAAATGGAGATATTTGGTGGGTGCATCCCACGGCAGTGAGAGTCTCCTGAGAGGAGTGGGAATTACAGGAAATTGTATTGGCATGGAGGGTAATCAGGATTATTGGTCTGTGTTCTGGCCTCAGTGCAAAAAGGCAGAGGGTTGGCGTACAGCCAGCCCACTGGAAGAAAGAAATGCACTGGTGGTAGGACAATATTGTGAGGGGTGTTGGATGGACAAGAGGGAAGAGAAGATGATCACAGAATGATAGAAATGTAGAGCTGGAAGGAACCTTGAAAGATCATCAAGTCTAGATTCCAGGGGCTTTTCCCCTGCTCTGTATTCCATAAGCTAACCAGCTTCACTTGTCAGGAAGTCTCATGATAATCAGCTTAAATTTCACTTTGCTCAGTTCCATCCCATGACTTCTAGAGACACCATCAGTAATTGCTCTTAAAAAAGAAGCATTTCTGTGGCCCTTTTGATCTGAGGATCTCAAAGCACTTTTCAGACATAGGGAATTAAGCCTCAAAGTCCCCACTTCCCTGTCAGTACAGTAACTATCAATTCTAAAGTTTTATAGTTTCATAAGGTAAGTCTACATAGAAAAAAAAACCCCAAAAACAGTGGCAGCTTTTCTGCTTCATCTCATGGTATCAGTGCAGATTCTTATATCAAATGTCTTTGGAATTCTTGACCATGAGATGTAGCTGATATGGCGGTACAGCATGCAAGCAGTCAAAGCTGGGAGCTAGGCTTTCCAGACGCTATACCCTATTGTTAAAATGCATTTAATATGTAAATATAGAAACATCAGACCTATCAATGCCAAGGAGTTAGTAATAAATAACCTTTCACACCTACCTCACAAGTTTGGTCGTCTGTATTTAAGTCAATAAACGAAACCTGGCCTTTTTTTGTATTTCCATTACCTATCCAGACCCCTGCCTTCTTGCAGCTTTGATTAGAAGCAACCATGCACTCTGCTGTAAAGGCACTGCGTATTGAAATATATCTCATCAAACAGATAAGCTTTGCTGAGTTCAAAATATCATAAACCTGTAAAGGACAACACAAGATAACCAAGATAACAACAGTCTGTAAATAAAGAGATAGCACTTTTCATTCTGAAGGATAAAGTACAATCTAGGTACACAGTATCACAGCAGGTAATGCTTACTCATGTACTGCAGGTACTGCAGTCACTATGCACTACATTACTGTTTTTCAGGTGGAAGTGAAGAATTCATTTTCCCAATTGAAACTACAGGACAATGTCAATGGGACTTAGTCTCCTCTGTCACTTAAGACACATTTGAAAATCTTACCCAATATCACAGAGCAAGGTAGTATAGTGATAGAAGACACTATGGTAGCTTTTAGATCTATACCATTTTAGAAGATGTACGGAGTGGTGTAGATGAACTGCATACATAATTTTATAACAAGTTCTTGTTGTGTAATGTTAATTGAAAATGTCTATCTGACATGAATTCTATGTGGCTAACATATACGAGTATTAATCACCAAGTAATGAAGTGGCAGAAACATCATTGGATGATTCATGGCAAAATATAAAAGAAAATGGCCAATTTGTATGTTGCACAAATGTTTCTGTTCAAAATAGTGAGGAGAAAATATTGTACTTCTTACGAAGGGCTTGTTCACACGGTGCACCACTGGGGTGTAAATTCTAGTGCACTGGTGAGTTGCACACTAACTGGCCTGTATGGACCCTACTGTTGCACCCCAGAAGTTCTGTAGTGCATGTTCCGTAGTGCATGTTTCAAACAGGACTACATTAACACCCACTACGGAACTTTTAGTGCACACCAGCAGGATCCACATGGGCCAGTTAGTATGCAATTTGCTAGCATGGACTAGAATGCAGACTATGCCAGAGATGTACACTGTATAGACAAGTCCTAACTTAAATTCACCATTTCCTCTTGAATTGGTAGAGCATAATAAGTCAACAGTAGAAGTTAACACAAAAATTGTATAATACAATCACAAACTACCTGGGCAGATGTAGGTCTTTCCTGAGGGTTTTCTTTCAAACACTTGCTGATTAAACTTTCAACTTCAGGCCAGGGGGCACACCCATATTCTTTGACAGGATCTAAAATATAAATTTTGTGCTGCTAATTAGATAATTGCCTAATTAGTGCAATTTATCACAACTAAGGACTGAGAGTTATGAATACCATTCTTCTTACCAGAATTTCTCACAACTTCTTACAAAGCTGCCCAGAGATACATCCCACACTAGGGTAAAATTTCAAACTGTATAGAGATTAAGTGCTCAAGTTCTATTAACAGCAAATTGGCATTACACAGCTAGGGAGGTTATCATTACCAACAATCACATCATGATGCCCGAGACATCACTATTTCCCTGATTTTAGAATTGGATCTAAGCAGTAACTGCTGGCGAATGCTGACTTTTTAATGGGGACTTCAGCAATGCCCATGCACTCTCTTTTGAAAATTTACTCATCTCTGTTTGGCAGAGAGAATGGTATTAAATAGAATTAGAGGAAGTCTTTCATCATACGGGTGAATTTTCAGCACACTGCACAGGAACTCCCAATAACATTTATGGGATTTATGAGGTTAAATTCTCACATAGTGGTTTACCTCATCATCTTAGGCACTGAGAGTTCTAAACCCAAAATTTAAATATTAATTATGGTGAATTAATGTTTTTTTTTCTGTCCATCAAAATGCATAGTGATATCCCCAGTATCACCTTATATGGACATGACATTAAACAAGGTTAAAGAAAAAAATGCAGCCCACAAAAGGAACATATTCTCTCTTAGACCAGGTCTGAATTTAGTTCTAAGCATACAAAAGTCCTGTTTCTTTATGGAGTGCACCAATTTGATCCCTGACGTATCTCGAATAAAGTTACATAACCCTAATCATTTTTGTTGCCCTTTTCTGAACCTTTTCCAATTCCAATACATCTTTTTTGAGATGGGGCAACCACCTCTGCACGCAGTATTCAAGATGTGGGCATACCATGGATTTATAGAGGCAATATGATCTTTTCTGTCTTATTTTCTATCCCTTTCTTAATGATTCCCAACATTCGGTTTGCTTTTTTGATGGCCGCTTCACATTGAGTGGATATTTTCAGAGAACAATCCACAATGACTCCAAGATCTCTTTCTTGAGTGGTAACAACTAATTTAGACTCCATCATTATATATGTACAGCTGGGATTATGTTTTGCATTTAGTTTGCATTTATCAACATTGAATTTTATCTGCCATTTTGTTGCCCAGTCACCCAGTTTTGAGAGATCCTTTTGCAGCTCTTCGCTGTCTGCCTGGGACTTAACTATCTTGAGCAATTTTGTACCATCTGCAAATTTTGCCACCTCACTGTTTACCCCCTTTTCCAGATCCTTTATGACTATGTTGAATAGGACTGGGCCCAGTACAGACCCTTGGGGACCCCACTATTTATCTCTCTCCATTCTGAAAACTGACCATTTATTCCTACCCTTTGTTTCCTATTTTTTAACAAGTTACCAATCCATGAGAGGACCTTCCTTCTTATCCCATGACAGCTTACTTTGCTTAAGAGACTTTGGTGAGGGAACCTTGTAAAAGGCTTTCTGAAAATCTCAGTACATTATATCCACTGCATCCCCCCTTATCCACATGCTTGTTGACCCCCTCAAAGAATTCTAGTAGATTGGTGAGACATGATTTCCCTTTACAAAAAACATGTTGACTCTTCCCCAACAAATTATGTTCATCTATGTGTCTGACAATTTTGTTCTTTACTATAGTTTCAATCAGTGTGCCCGGTACCGAAGTCAGGCTTACTGGCCTGTAATTTTCGGGATCACCTCTGGAGCACTTTTTAAAAATTGGTGTCACATTAGCTATCCTCCAGTCATTTGGTACTGGAGCTGATTTAAATAATCTTTCCCCTCTGTATGTTCCAGTGTTAAATCTTGAAGAAACATGACATACCTGGTAATTTTCCATGAATTGCTAATTCATCAAATTCATTTGGAAACTTCATGCCTTCTATTATTCTACCTCCTGCTGTTAAAATGTCATAAAGAAGCAAGCCAAATGAATACACATCAGCTTGCTGATTGTAAATAACATTTCCTCTGGCAACCTCTGGTGCTCGAAATCCTGGAAATAAATGATTCATTACTAGCTATGATTCATGCCAGGCTGATGCCATGCCTGTCCCTTTAAGAATAAATACCTCTTGATGAAAAATGCCACAGGAAGTTAAAAAAATTACATATTATTTTGGAACTGGCAGCAGTCCATATGCTGAAAAATCAAAGAATAAATGAGCAAATGGAAGGTCAGTGTAAAAGAAGTATCTGTAAATCAGTTAATAAGCTTCTGTGCTATTAGTCTAACCATCAAAAGAGCTTTATTATTTAATAGTGAAAAGGAAGGGCACGTCCTGCAATCCTAACTCAGGGCCTGATACTGCACTACGGGAGTCATGCCCTCATGTTCATGGCAATGGGCCCCAATGCTCATTTACTCTAAGGCTACTTTTTCATTGCTCTAGCAGCGCAAAGGGGCCTGCAAATGGGTGTAAACGTGATCCAATTAAAGTCAACGGGAGATGCAGGTGTTCAGCACCTCTGAAAAATCAGAACCCTAAAGCGCACATTACTGACCACTAAAACCCAACCACATTTAGAATATTGTTTTAATAAAATAATAAGCATAAAAATATTCAAACTGAACATATTTGTACAAAAGAAAAAATAATTAAGATCATTTAATGTAACTTAACTTACACATTCTTTTTAACACCCCATTTTACTGCCAACATTGTGTAAATGGGAATCAGGCCCAGGGTCTATAAATCTGTTTTAATCAGTTATAACATGGTGAGAACCACAGCAATGTAGATTGTTCCTTAATTGGACACTTCTTATGGTGGAATTCCAAAATACTGTCTTATTCTTTTTAACAAAACAAAAAAATACAACAGAGCATTTTTTGCCATACCTGGTGTGCCTTCTGAGGTTTTTATCCCCATTCTGCAGCAATACTGAGCAATACCATAATCAGCAATCTTTGCAATGACTGCTGAATTGGGATATAACGTAAAGAGCAGCACATTATGAGGCTTTAAATCTCGATAAATGATCATTGAGGAATGCAGATACCTGTTAACAAAAAAGTACTTAGGTGAAAGCATTTAAAATCCATATCTATCTAGTTACACTGACTGCACCAATAATACTATAGTAAGCCATGCTATTAATTTTAATCATTCTGACATCAAAAGGAAAAAGTTCTCTAATATGATATCCGATTGCTGGATTATGGTTTTGGAATTATCCCAACATATCAGTTGTTGGCACATGAACAGCTTGGTATTGTAGTTCAAGACACCTCACTTAGAGTGAGGCATCTTGAACTTCAAAAAGAAGCCAATTAAACAAAAAAAGAATTTTCAGGTTAAAAAGAATGGGAAAAATTAAAGTTCCAGAGTTCTGGCTTTTTCTCCATTCATGTGAATCCCACTTGTGAATAGAAAAAACAAAAAACCACAAGAGAAAAGACAGTGAATAGACCAAATATAAAAGTATTGACTGCTTGTGAGTGGTTTTCCGGTTCCTGGCCCTACAGGTGAGGTGTCACTTCATGCTTTCTGCCTTTATTCGTTCGTTTCCTTGAAAACCAACAAAACAAATAACCTAGACTACATTTAAAAAAAAAAGTACAAAATTCTGTCTCTTTTGGGACACACACAAATTAAGAATGTATGATAGTCTAGCCCTATAGTTGATTAAGATCTTGAAAGGATAAGCTAGTAAATGTCATCAGAGGCCCAAATAAGTAATGGTAACAGATGCCCTTGACAGAATGTTCTTCTTGTAGCCCATGTCAACAAATCCCTTATGGAAAACTGCTATAGAACTGAATAGAAATTATAACCTTTCTGTAGAGTTTTTTTGAATGATCTTACATAATTTAATAGAATTGTATACACTGCTTCAAGTACACAGACAGGACTGTATCCTCTATTCAATAAATTAAATATAAAAAGATAGAACTTCTTTGACTAAGAGAATACACCCCCACGGTATAGAAGGAGAGTCAAGGAAGGGAAAAGAGAAAGCTTTCCTACTTTCAGACTGTCAATATTTTTCCGTGCCAAAATTAGCATTTCAAGAATATTTACCTTAAGCCATCTGCTACATGTAGAGCTATCCTGTGCTGAAGTGTTTTAGTTAAGCTTGAACTATCTTGCTGAAGCAAACGATCCAGAGAACCCTTAGGGGCTAATTCCATTACCAACATCCGGGGACGGACTGCAGCAGCCAGCAAAGACACTAAGCTAGGGTGATGGAGATGACAAAGCACTGCAAGCTCCTGTAAATTGTAAAATCAAGTGAAATTCTGCATGTATTATATTTATAGTTCTGGGGTGAACTGGGTTTGTTTCAACAATATTAACTACTAAAAGGCAGAAAATTCAGAATTAAGGCAGAGACTGTGCTTAAACATTATTAAACCCTTCACTATTGTAGTTTTACTAGTGCAGCACTATAAAAAGAGGCAACATTTCTTACTTGTCTTAAGAGTCTGAGGGAAGTATGTTTATTAAAAATCTTTACAGCTACTTCTTCTCCACCATATGATGCGCGGTACACAGATCCAAACCCACCGTCACCTTTTCAAAAAGAAATGGAAGGTATATAAAAAAATAAAAAGAACATCCATCTTTTCTCAAATTGACTGAGCCTGACTCTAAAAAGCACAGAGCACCAACAGTCTCAGCTTAAGCCAGTGAGAGTAGTGTGCGCTCAGCACATCTGAAAAATCAGGGCCCTAACACACATATTATTGGCAGTTAAAAAAAACCCTCTATAATTCAGAAGTAGCTTTTAATAGCATAATAGACAAATCAAATAGAAAAAACCTCAGTAAAATGTTTTCAGTATGTTTTATAATTTAGCCCGATAGCTTAATTGACATAAACATTATACTTTTAATATCCTTGCCACATATTAGGCATATAGGAGGGACTAAAAATTAATATTCACCCAACAGAAATTCAGGAGCCTTGTCAAATTCCAATTCATCATTGTTCAACATGATATTTCTAGGCAAATCAGCCAATATCAGGTCAGGAGCAATCTGGGCTATTGGAATGGTAAATCTTGGTTGATCTGGATTTACTAAGAGATCACCTAAGTAAGGGAAAAAAAAAAGATGCAGTTGAAAAGCAGATAAAATAGCATATTCACCACACTAAACTGAGTGAAGTGTACATATATCTATCTCTATTTATGTATACAACTAATGCACTTCATATGAACTTTGCATTTGTGTAGTAACTAGTGACAACTGAATATACTTCTCCAATTTATATACATTTCTTGCATGTATAAATAATTCCAAACCATGGTTTAATGGCATATGCAGTCGTCAACATTAAAAACTAGCCTTTGTCAACAGTTACCATACAGCATTAAGCTAACTGAGATACCAAAGTTTTTCTGTAAAAGTAGAATAGGAAATAACTCTAGTAACTGTGTAGTAACTATTGGCTAATATTGCCTTTTTAATTGTGACCATTGTACAGGATCCAATCAACAGGACTAATGTCCACTGCAGTACTAACATGAGTCAGAATTAATCACATGAATAAGGGTTGCTGGATCAGGTCCTGTGGATGAGAAGGCGAGTGTCTCTTTCAACCCTCCCACTATGTACACCAATGCAGGGGCTAGCCACAATCTGGCCCATACTGTATTGTAATACAAAGGCATTAGGACAAAAAAGTTGTGGTTGTTGAATCACATTATAAGGATGGTATTGTTTATTTTAATCAAGTGTTCTTAAACAATGTGAGGTATCTAAATGCTATGGCAATGGCATCATGTACAGTAACTCCTCACTTAACATTGTCCCAGTTACCGTTGTTACGTTGCTGATCAATTAGAGACCATGCTTGTTGCGCAATGCTCCCTTCCAACGTTTGTGGGGGAAAAAATGGTCAGGGCCTAAACTTAGTTAAGCAGTCTGTCAAGTATGGCCTGAAGGTAGAAAAAGGGGGGGGGGGGAGTGAGATAGAAAAAGTAGGGTAAAGAGAAATCATAAAAGCAGAACTAACTGTAGAAAGTATAAAAGTAGAATTCTTGGTTTCTTTGCAGCCATTCCTTTAGGAATGTCTGTAAATAACCTCTTGCCTGGATTATTTAAGTAAAATCATTTGACTAACTTTTTTATAGTCAAATGATTTTACTTAAATAACCTCTTGCCTGGATTATTTACAGACATTCCTAAAGGAATGGCTGCAAAGAAACCAAGAATTTTTCTTTTATAACATTTTCTTTTAACATTTATACAAAGTTTTACTGCTTAATTCCTTTCAATAACTATAGAGTTAACTTCTTACTTTGTTTCTTTCAACTTCCTCAAACTGTGGTTGCCTGCTTGTCTGGGCCCGATCCTTTTTTCCTTGTTGCATTATTATTTTTGCATGGGAACAGGCATTGTTTCACTACCAATTTAGCAAGGAGGGTGGGCTTTTTGACTGACCCCCCTTTTATCTATTTATACACACCTATTTACATACACACATTACATTTAGATGCATCTTATTTAATAATAACCTTAATTCTTTATGTCCGGACTTAATACAACCTTTCCTTGAGGCAGTAACAACCCCTCAGCACTGGTGCATTATAAAAAAGGATAATAACAGGGCTAGGGACAATGGGACCGGTTAAAGGGGTGTGGGCCCCCACTTACCGAATCCTGCCGGGTCCATGGGGAGGATGCATGTGGGATTGGGTTATTCACCGAGACATTTGGAAAATCAAGCCTCCTGGTTTGCCTAACCGATTCATAGTCAGTGCTCCTAATATAACACCCAATATTTGGATTGGGATAAGAAACCAATGGACACTCTGGCCATTAGAACCCCCACAGCTTCAATACATACATAAATTGAAGCCAGGGGAAATTATCACTGTCCATGATCATGTTCGTTGGGAGGGTAAGGGACTAGGAACCCTCCTGACAGGAGACACGTTCTTTCAGGCGAATAACAGTTGTGTATTTGTTAAGGCCCATATTGTACACAACACCCATTTTAACCTCACTACAACTGCAGGCAGCCATATTATCTATTGGCCTGCAGATAAAAATTTGCAATCCACTCTCAGGTATAAAATGCCCTTTAACTGGACGACCCTGGTTCCCAACCATTTCCAAAATCTGCTTTCATTGTTATCAGAAGTGCAAAAAATTTCTGATTTACAAGGGCAAATTCATATCCTTGAAAATATATATCAGATAGAAAAGGGTTCCTTTCAAACAGCCTATAGACAGGCTTCTTTGTGTATTAGTCAAGATGTGTTGTGTGCGGTAACCAAAATTGTGCACGAACTCCATCGTATTGTCACCATAAGCGGACTAACACTTGTAGTGGCGTTGGTTGGTTTGGGATTATGCCTCTGTTATTGCTGTTGCAAAAACCACTGCTGTGCTTGTAATTTTTTGCCAAGCCCAGCGTAAGGGAGCAAGTGGCATTGATAATTGTTAATGAAATTTTTGACAAAAGTCGGGATGAGAAAAAGGAAAAGGAAAGGAAGGAAATCAATGGGCTCATGAATGTGGAAGTTTAGGCCAAAGATGGCGCCATAAAGGGGCGGATTGTGGGGGAAAAAATGGTCAGGGCCTCAACTTAGTTAAGCAGTCTGTAAAGTATGGCCTGAAGGTAGAAAAGGGGAGGTGGGGGAAAGATAGAAAAAGTAGGGTAAAGAGAAATCATAAAAGCAGAACTAACTGTAGAAACTATAAAAGCAGAAGTAACTGTAGAAATTATAAAAGTAGAATTAACCTTTGTAACAGACTATGATTAATAGCTGCCAGGTGACAGAGCAAGAAACCGCAAAGGGCAAAAGGAAGGAAAAACAGAAAAGGCTTGTTTTGCTTTATTCCTTATATGGATGTAAAACTTTAAGGAAGTATATGTAATTTTTGTGGTTTTATCCTATGTAAACTCTCGCATTTTATCTGTCGGGGGAGGGTGGGGGTGGTTCGGCTGCCTTGGCTGACTCCCCCATGCATGCATGTTTGATTGATCAATAAAGGAGCCTCAGGCTGTCTGATCCAAAATCAACCGTGTGGTCAAGCTTCCACAACACGTTGTTTTGCAGCCACCTGCTTTGTCCACTGCCTGAAGAAAGAGCTGCCCATTGGAGCTAGCTGCTGGGGGCTTGGAACCAGGGTGGACCGACAGCCCTCCCATCAGTTCCCTGCTCCCCTATGCTCCCTGTGCGGCAGCCGCTCAGCAGGCTATCAATTGCTGGGCAGTCCAGCTGTCCCTCCCGCACTGTCCTGTGCTGCTCCTGCCCTCTGCCTTGGAGCTATTCCCGGGAGCCTCCTGCTTGCTGTGCCGGGGGAGGGGGGGGGAGGGGAAAAGGGGTGCTAATGTCAGAGTGTCCCCCACCCCCCACTCCTGCCCCCATTTCTACAGAACGGGGGAGGACCAACAAGGTCAGGAGAGAGGGAGCTTGCTGGCAGCAGCTGCTGTCTCAACTTGCTGATCTACTTAAAAAGGCAGTGTAGTTAGAGTGGGGTCAGCGTACTTAAAGGGGCAATGCACGTCTCTCTCTCTCTCTCTCTCACACACACACGGTGTATGTCTCTGTACCTCTCTGCCATGCTGTCTCCCCTCACTCCATTCGTGCTGCCTTGTGGAGTGTGAGGCTACATTAACAACGTGTTAACCCTTGAGGGCTCAGCCGAGTGCTAGTTCATCATTTAGCTGTAAGGCATTTCCTGGGAAATATCCCACCCTCTGACTTCACCACCTCAACCAAGTTTCACACTAATCATTGCTGTGTACAGTATTAAATTGTTTGTTTAAAACCTATACTGTGTGTGTGTCTGTGTGTGTCTATATATGTCTTGTCTGGTGAAAAAAATTTCCCTGGAACCTAACCTCCCCTATTTACATTAATTCTTATGGGGAAATTCGATTCGCTTAACATCGTTTTGCTTAAAGTAGCATTTTTCAGGAACACAACTAAAACGTTAAGCGAGGAGTTACTGTATAAATACTTATTTATATGGGTACTCTAATTAGCTTAATTAAAACATTATATACCTTCTTCAGTTTTTTAAGTAAATCATCAAGTAATATTTTTTGGTGTTCTTTGCCATCCTCAAAGCTACACAAAGCCCATTTCTTCAACAGTGTTTCCCCTTCACCACATACATCTATATCCAGTAAACCTGGAAACCATTCTTCCACAAGAGAATCAATGTGATCCACAACTTGCCCCAAAAGGACACAACCTGTAAAAAGCCAAAAAAAAAAAAAAGTAAATTAGAACCACAGTCTCATATCTGTGATTATAAAAACATACTGCATGTTCTGAAAGGAGCAAGCAAAATGAACAAATGCACCAAGTTTAATTCAAACAGCAGATACAAGAAGATATTTAGGAATAATTTAACCTTTTCTGCAAGAAGGAGCTGTAATTTTCAAAAAACTGTCTGGATTGCTATCAAATACTGCTGATTCCACTAGACAGTAAGCTTCAGGAGACCAGTTTAGGTAAATGCCTTGTCTCCAATACATTCTATTAGGACGAAGAGCTCGTTCTAGGAAAAACAAAGTTAGTCAAAGTCAGACCCTTAATATGAACTCTACAAATTGGGCTGAACATTCCAAAAATACTATTCTAAGCATGTACTTGTGGTTTTATATATTTATACAACACAAACAACCAATGCATCTTTGCATGCAATTGTGCATCACCAGAAAAGCTGAACATACTAATCACATTTCTGACCACTCCAACAATACATATACAAGAATACTAAATATTGACTCAGCTCATGGACTAGTTGGTGAATGTAGGTCAAGTACAGATCTTGAAGTGCTGGCAAACTGGACTCAAATATAAAGTTTCTTAGGCAATAAATAAAATCATTTGGTGTCTTCCATTTTCTCCCTAGCGGACATATCTACATTACATACGCACCACAGCCTGATGTGACTGGAATGGTGTGCCCAGGAGAGATCAGTTGCCAGAATAGCAGAGGTGTGGTAAATCAAATTTGAAGGGCATTACCAAAGATACATTTGCGTGAATCGTCTAGCTGCAGCTAATGCTTGTATGTTAAAAACAAATAAAAATTAAAAAGCCCAGTGAACTGGCTTAATTAAGAAGGAGGGGGGAGGGGAGTAGGCCCTCTGTATGGACTGAGAGTGATTTAAAAATAGGTCTGATAAAAATAGAGTCTGCAGAATTTTTTTAAAAGGGGGAAAGAGATGGGCACCAGGTAGGGTGACCAGATGAGAGGAAGAAAATATGGGGATACGTGAGGTAGGGGGGTCCGCCGGCATAACGAAAAAAAAAAAAAACCGAGTGCTGCCTGCCCCGGCGGAGCGAAAAACAAACAAACCAGTGCTGCCGGTGGAGCGAAATATCGGGACAAATTGCGTCCCGACCAATGACCAAAGATTGGTCAGGACACGGGACAAACACCTAAATATCGGGACAGTCCCGATTTTATCGGGACGTCTCGTCACCCTAGCACCAGCAAATGTGTAAGGGCAATGAATTTCATGCCCCAGGAGCCAAAACAACAAAACTTGTTGTCAATGGTAGAACTCCTCGAAGGAGATGGGTGTCAGAGTGCAGGTATCCCCCAAGATGAGGCTCAGAGAATGTGTTCAATATAGCCAGGTTTATCCCCATTAAGGGCAGAATTCTGTCATACAGCCATAGCTCTGTATCGGGTGCCATATGGAGGCACACTACCTTAGCAGGAAATCCAAAAGGCACCATGTCTAAGTAGGCACAGTGTTTTTTAAAGATGAGGGGGGTCTCCAGGGAAGAACAGCAACTGCATTACCCCCGGTGTAGCATCTATTCCCCTCTATGCTCAGCCAGCTCCGCTGGGTGATGTGGAGTAGGAGGAGACAATGACTCCACTTCCTCCCTGCTTTTTCCCACCATTTTTGCAGAAACTAATCCTAACAGTGCTTAAATGCAAAGATTTCCTCTGTGTCTGTCGTGTGTGTGCACATGGTGGTGCTGGGGAGAGAGGGAGCGGAAGAGAGCAAGAGCCTGCTTTCATTCTCCCTTTCTCACTCACACAGAGGGCAGGCACAAAGTGTTCCTAAGAGTTTTTAAGTTATAAGTAAGGGCCACTATTTTGTCTTCTTACACTTGTAAAATGGCCAGAGATGAGCCCAAAACAAAAACATAAAACACAAAATTTCAGGAAAGTGGTAGGAATTAGAATTTGAATCTGTAGACCTGAACTCAACCCCATGGCTACTAGGTGTTCAAGGCAAACACACACATTGATAGTTTTGAAGTTAAATGTCAGTACCTCTTCCTGAGAGCATGTAAGGAGATACTTCAAGCAGCCTATTGATCAGTCTGGACCAGAACCCCATGGGAAAGTACGGCATCTCATACAGCCTAATGATGATTTCTGAGTTTTCACAGTGGGGAAGCTCTATAACAGGTCTGTGATCAGACAAACTGAAAAAAACAGGAACATTATTTTCCAGTATTTCATAATTTACTACTTCCAGAATTACTAATTACATAGACTACAATGAGAATTATTGTACAGCTGATTATTTGTTAGATATATCGATGAATGAATGTCAGAAATGAATGCATCCCCAAATCACATAAGCAGGGGGCAGATTATTGGGGTTTATCTGTACCAGTGTGTTTGTTTATTTTTCATGTTAATGGACAATTTCTGCTCAATTTAAACTGCATGCAGTCCCAGTGATTTCAGGGAGCTATCCAGGGATACAAGTGTGTGAAAAAATTGATGTAAATATAATTCTTATCTTGCACTTATATAACATCACCCATCCAATGACTCTGAGGAGTTTCAGAGGGATTAATCAATTAATCCACACAACACTCCATCCTTTAAGGAAGGTAAGGGTTAATATCTACATTGCACTGATGTAAAAGCTGAGGCAGAGAGGCCATGTGACCTGTAATAGCTCATGCAAAAAGAGGGTGTCAACACTGGCATTACAACTCATAACTCTGGATTTCCAGTATTATGGTTAAACCATCAGACGATTCAAAGACATAATGCCTCCAGGCATCTCTGCTTGAGCAGTGCAACTCCCCCCTATTGTGGCCTTGACTTAAACCAAACAGTTTATAAATACTAATGTTTATGACTTATATTGAAATGAGTATCTGCATATACTGGTGCTATCTGGATGGTTTGATCATTAGTAATATGGGATATTTTGCTATTGTGGTCTCATTGTAAAAGAAATTGTATTCTCGCAAAATATTTTGCCTTTTATATGTGTCATTTTTCATTGTGCCAATAGGATACAACTAGGGCCCTACCAAATTCACAGTCTATTTTGTTCAATTGCATGGTCATAGGCTTTTAAAAATCATAAATTTCATTATTTCAGCTATTTAAATCTGAAATTTCATGTTGTTGTAATTTTGGGTCAGGACCCCTAATAAGGAGTTGGGGTGGGGGTCGCAAGGTTATTGTAGAAGGGGTTGCGATACTGCTACCCTTACTTCTGTGCTGCTGCTGACAGCGGAGCTGCCTTCAGAGCTGAGCAGCTGGAGAGCGGCAGCTGCTGGCCAGAAGCCCATCTCTGAAGGAGGTGGCCATACTGTGACCCCCCCCTGCAACTCCCTATTGGGTCAGGACCCCCAATTTCAGAAACACTGGTCTCCCCCTGTGAAATCTGTATAGTTTAAGGTAAAAGCACAAAAAAACAGATTTCACAGGGGGGGGGACCAGATTTCATGGTTCATGATGTGTTTTTCATGGCCATGAATTTGATAGGGCCCTAGATATAAACTTTGTTTACTACAAGATCACTTTAACTTTTATGAGAAGTAGTAGTAGTATACAAGGAGTAGTATACAAATCTAACATAATAAAATCAAAGTGTTGCTCACTAAGGGGAAATTGCTTTGATATCAAACAGCTAGAAATGTCATTACAGCCCGAGAATATCAGAGTTTTTGATCTTGGTATATTTCCATGGCACATTTGTGGTTCTCTCTCTTTTTTACCTGCTTGGAACAAGTAGTTGATCTTCTCCTAATGGCAATGCAATTTGGAACTTTTCCAGAAGCTTAAAGTATTGTGACATGTAGATCTTAGGGAATCTGCTCTTCTTTAAAAGGAATTTTTCCACATCTGAACGCTTTATAATTCCTTTAGGGTATTTAGGAAAACCTTCCACCTTCACTGTCAAAATCTTTTAAAAAAGTAAAATAATTTCAACTCTGCAGTCATAATTGGATTGCATTTTTCTGACAAAAATAGTTTTCTGCAATATATTACTAGTATTATTTACAAAAATTAATAATCTTATTCATAGTAAAACTCAGCATTTCAGCAATGACAGCCATCTGAACACAAGCTAACAGTTCTGAACAGTATATCCCATGATACTACTTAGCTACCTCTTCATTCAGTGTAGTGTATTTTAGTGGCTCCTCCTACCGCATATCATATGGGAGGTTATTCCACATGTTAATTAGTGAAGAACAAACCTTCAAAGATTTGGAAGTCTGAATAAACATCTAAAAGTTTGGAAGCTTTTCCAAATTAACCAAACCAATGGTGGATTCTTTCCAGGTAGACCCTCCTAGCAGTCCTTTTGCCCCTCACCTGTCCCAATATACAGGTCAGTACAACCCATCCTCTTCTTCCTTCGACAACAGGGTCCAATTACCCTTCTTTCCCACCATTCCAGGTTACTGTTATTGCTTTTTGCCAGAATTCCAGCCTTTAACAATTTGTTGCAGGATTATGCTGCCTCTTACCGGGATCTCCATTTCATTTTACACATGTTCTGGGACCTAACTGACTGTAAGGACTATCAGACACCAGAGAGTAAGAGAACTGAGAATGGAGGCATTGTGGTGCACTTGAACCCTAGAATGCATATTTAAAAGGCAGCAGGAGGAGTCATGCAGGCCAAATTGGGGAGCTGTGAAAGGGAATGGGTCATGAAACTGGGAAGAAATAGAGTAAAATGAGGCCAAGTCAGCTACAGTAGTTGGGGAAGGAGAAAGAGTTGAATAAAGGGATACAAAAAATATAATGAGAAGCTAACCTGTGCCATGATTTTACACAGCCACTTAGGGTCCACAAAATACAGATCTGTTAGCTGAAGTGCTGGGTCTTGAAAATGTAGCAGTACGCCTATAATAATAATATTGTAATTAGAATAATATCACACAACATCCATATGAAACAAAAGAAAAGAAGGACGTTGCTTTTAGACAATTCTGGGCTGCCTTTTTCCCGCTCTTCTGATTAAAGGCATATTAAATGGTAGATACCTTGAGTTATTCTTAAGTTTGGTAAAAGTATCAGAGTGCAGTCATGATATGATCATCTTTTCCATTATTTCCTGGTGCCGTATTTATAGTCATAATCTGACCTACTCCTTTCAAATATCTAATATGCTCAATGTGAATGCTCAGTGTTGATTATTATTTTAGTCTAAGTATCCTCAATTATATAGTCTGTATAGTACTGAGATACTGTGTTAACTATGTTGTATAACTGCTGTCCCAATCACAGGCTGTCCTAGTGATCTTATTTTTCCTCCTGAATCCTCTTCTCTGTTCTGCAGGTTTATTACTTTCAAATAAAGTTAAGGGACATAAGTTGTTAGCAGATTAATCCTTCACATGATCTTTCCCTTAGGTTATAAAATTTTAAGATAACAAAATGAAATCAAACAAGAATAACAGTACCTAGAGTATCATAAGGTGATAAATAATAGCCAACATGTAATGTCAAGAACAAATCATTTCAGACCAAACTAATTTCCTCCTTTGACAGGGGAAGCAGTAGAAGTCATATATCTTGATTTTAGTAAGGTTTTTGACGGAGTCCCACATGACATTCTCATAAACAAACTAGGGAAATGTGATCTAGATGATATTACTATAAGGTGGCTGCATAACTGGTTGAAAATCCATACTCAAAGAGTAAGAAACAGTTACCTACCTTTCTAGAACTGTTGGTCTTTGAGATGTGTTGCACACGTCCATTCCACTGCAGGTGTATGTGCACCTCATGCACAGATGTTGGAGACTTTTTTCCCCTTAGCGGTACCTGTTCGGGTGGCTCAAGTACCCCCTCTTGCTGGGTGCCACCATGTGCTGGTATAAGATGGTGGAGCAGCCCCTGGCCCACCTCATTTCCTTCATACCAGATGCACTCCAATAGACAGGGGAAGGTGGGTGGGTCATGGAATGGACAAGTGCCACACATCTTGAAGAAGAACAGTTACGGAAAGGCAGATAACCTTCGAGTGCTTGCGCGTGTCAATTCCACTGTAGGTAACTCTCACACAAACAGCTATGTAGGTGGGTTGAGTGTCTATCTGAAAAATGATTGTAGAATCACTGCCCGAAACTGGCATCATCTTTGGACTGAGGGGTAATGACGTAATGAAAAGTGAAGGTGTGGACTGAAGACTGATTGCTGCTTTACATATGTCGATAATGGGTACTCGAGCCAGGAAAGCTGCAGAAGTTGCTTAAGCTCTAGTAGAGTGCACCAGCATGCTAGCTGGTGAGATCATGTTAGTCAGTTGGTAGCATAAACGGATGCAGAAAGAGATCCAGGAGGAGATCCTCTGGGAGGAGACTGGATTGCTTTTAACACTCTCAGCAACCATGACAAAAACCTGTGTAGAACTCCGGAATGATTTAGTATGCTCTAGGTTGAAAGCTAACGCTCTTCTCACATCCAGTGAGTGAAACCTTCCTCCTTGCTTATGGTGATGGGGTTTTAGAAAAAAACGTGGGCAAACTTGGTTAATGTGAAAATTAGAAACTACTTTTGTAAGGATCTTTGGGTTCAGCTGGAGATAAACCTTAATCCTTATAAAAATTGTAAAAGGGGGTTCTGACTCCAAAGCTCTCAACTCATCAACCATCTTGCTGAGTTGATCACTATTAAAAAGGCCACCTTCACATACAGATAATGGAGGGAGCAAGGTGTGAGTGGTTCAAAGGGAGGTCCCATTAGAGTTGCCAAGACTAAGTCGAGATAGCAAGGAGGGACAGGGTCCCAAACTTTAGAGTAATCTGGCCAGGACTTTCACGAATCGAGCAATAATGGTGTTTGGAAGAGAGGGGCCTGTTATCCATCTGTATATGGAAAGCTGAGATAGCAGCCAAATGCTCCCTTACAGAACTAATAGTCAGGTTCTGTTTTAGATCAGAATATAGTTCAGAACAACATTCAGGGGTGCTTGCCAAGGAGACATGCCTTTCCCACGAGGCCAATTGGAGAAGTGCTTCCACTTAGCCAGGTGGTCCTAGTTGAGTGTCTTCTACTATTTAAAAGTACATTTTGGATATTCTGTGAGCAGGACCTTTCAAAGGGCATCAGCCATGAAGCATCCACACTATGAGAGAGCTTGGAGGCTGGAGTGGAGAACACGACCATGGTCTCAGGAAATTACATCTGGATCCAACAGGAGGGATAGAGGAAGCTCTATCGAGCATATCAGTGGGACTGAGTACCAGTACTGACAGGGCCATGCTGGCTCTATAAGAGTAAGATGAGCATGGTCCCTTTTTATTTTGGATATGACTCTGTGGAGCAAAGGAATCGGAGGGAATGTGTATAGAAGGTAATTTTCCCTGGACAAGAGAAAGGCATCTGGGCTGGGACCTCCCTCCCTCCCTGCAGGAACAGAACTGATGGCATTTCTGTTGGCCCATGTCCCAAGAAAGTTCACTTGGAGAATCCCCCAGAGTTGGAAGATGGACCTGGCTATGTCTGGGCATAATGACCACTTGTGTTGATCAGTCAGCCTGTTTGGTTTCCCCAGAAGGTAAGCAGCTTTGAATTGAGGAGGTTATACAGAAGTTCCAGAGATTAATTGTTTCCTGGAAGAGTTGGTTTGACCCTGCCCCTTCTTGCGTGTTTATGTAAAATACAGTCGCTGAGTTGTATGTCATACTCAGTAGATTTTTCCCCACTATGTGTGGGGGGAAAGTTGAGCAGGCTAGATGTACTGCTCTTAACTCCCTGACATTTAGGTGAGCCTCTAGCTCTCAAGACGATCAAAGACCTTGAGGCTTCAGGGACCCAATGTCAGCCCACCAACCTAGAGATGTGTCTGTGACTAGGATGAGTATTGGTCATGTGGGAAGGAAGGGAACTCCCATGCAAACTTTTAGAGTTTCTGTCCACAATCCAGAGACAACAGGACTAGCTCTGGCTTGGAGCATATACTGATGCTAGCCATGTCTGCAGCATCCTGAACTGCAGCCTGGCATTCTACGCTATATAGGTACATGCTGCTATGTGACATAACAGGCTGAGGCACTTGCATGCGGTCATGAGTGGATAAACTTTCATTTCAAGTACAGTACTAGATATCGAATGGTTTCAAATCCGGTTTGTGGCATGAAAATCCTAGTCTTTGTGGAGTCAAGGACTGCTCCAGTGAATTTTTTCTTAGGTGGATCTTGGAAATGGGGAGCAAAGGTATGCTGTCAAAAAGGTTGTTGACAAAATGCTCTCTTTTTGTCACTGGAGTGTAGATTCCAAGAGATTTGAGTGTTGCCATGGAAGACGTATGGCTGTGAAGCTTGTGATCAGTTTTCTTGGAGAGTAGGGCCTTCAAACGAAAAGACCTCTATGGTCTGTTGGACTTCAGCATGTATTCTGGATGACAGAATACATGAACACCTTCTCACAGTGATCGCTGATGCCATGGGCAGCTGAATCTGCACTATCTAGACTGTCCTGGAGGGCAGTCCACACTCCTCCATAACTACTGAGAACTTTTGCTTGCAATCCTCTGGTAATTAGTCCTTGAATTTAGCAATATTCTCCCAGACTATATACTTGTATTGACTCAGGAGTGCCTGCTGGCTTGCGACTCTGAGCTCTAGGCCCACTGAGGAATAAAGTTTGTGACCAAACAATTCTAGTTGTTTTGAGTCCTTGCTTATAGGTGTGGAGGCTTGTTGTCCCTAGCTTTCTCGTTTTGCTTTGGGAGACAGGGAAGAAGGTTTCTGCCAAAAAGTCTTGACAGGCTCCATGACTGCCTTGTTGATTGGCAGAGCAACCTTAGCCAGGGTGGCAGACACCAGGATGTCCCGCAACTTGTGAGAACTCTAACATACCTCTTCTGGCTGGATGTCAAGCATCAAGATCACTATTTTCAGGAGGTCTTGAGGGGTCCTGTGTTCTTCTGGAGGAGCCGAATCTCCCACTGAAACAACAGCATCATCTTGGTGATGAAGAAGAGGATGCAACCTGAACCTGAAGTGGAGGCCACTCTCCCCATGCAATGCCTCGGCTGGGAGTCAAAGTGCTGCTTCCATAAGCAAGCACTTAAGCCTTGCTGCTCTATCCTTTTGTGAATGGGGTTTGAAGCCCTTGCAGATGTGACAATTGTCACTAATGTGGGCCTCACCCAAGCACTTCAGGCAGGTCAGATGAGGATCACTGATCAGCATGGACTTTGAACACATCCCACAGGACTTGAACCCTGGGGAGTAAGGCATTGTACCGAAAAGAAAGAAACAGTCCCAAAGGACACAAAACACGGAAACCTAGTGCTAACTAACTTGAAAAACTATCTAACAACTAACAATAATTAACGTCAACTATTTACAACGAGGGAAGCACTTGAGTAAACAAATCTGAGATTGCTTCAACAACTATCACTGGCCATAAGAAAGAACTGAGATGGCTCAAGGGCAGCTCCGCCCTTTAATACCAGCACTCAGTGGCACAAGGCGACAGGGGGGTTCTCGAGCCACCCCAATGTGTACTGATGGGGAAAAAAAGTCTCGTACATCTGTGTACAAAGCATGTACACACCTACAGTGAAACTGACATATGCAATCACTTGAAGAAGAATTATCAATGATTTGCTGTCAAACTGGAAGGCGGTGTTTAGTGGGGTCCCACACGGATCAGTCCTGGGTCCAGTATTATTCAACATTTAAATTAATTACTTGGATAATGGAGTGAGGAGTATGCTTATAAAATCTGTGGATGACACCGAGCTGGGAGGGGAGTGTTGCTTGCACTTTGTAGGACAGGATTAGAATTAAAAATGACTTTGACAAATTGGAGAATTGATCTGAAATCAACAACATGAAATTCAATAACGATACTGAAAGTGCAAAGTACTATACGGAGGAAGGAAAAATCAAATCCACAACTACAAAATGGGGAATAAGTGACTAGGCAGCAGTATTGCAGAAATGAATCTTATAGTGGATCACAAATAGAATACTAGCCAAAGATGTGATGCAGTTGCAAAAATAAGGCTAATATTCTGGGGTCTAATAAAAGGACTGTCATATGTAAGATATGAGAGGTATTTATTCTGCTCTACTTGGCACTAATGAGTCCTCAGCTGGAGTACTGTGTTCAGTTTTGGGTGCCAGACTTTAAGAAAGATGTGGATAAACTGGAGAGAGTCCAGAGAATAGCAACAAAAATGATAAGATTTAGACATCTGACCTATAAGGAAAGGTTAAAATAACTGGGTATGTTTAGTCTTGAGAAAAGAAACTGAGGGGGGCCTGATCAAAGTCAATATGTTTAGGGCTCCTGTTTATCAGGGTTTAGTAATTTAATTTTTGAAGGTTTATTTTTTAGCAATTTTTGAGTTTTATGTAATTGTTCAGAAATGGGGGGGTGTAGCGAGGTGGTGGGATACCCCACAGCCCCGCTGAGCGCTGAACCTCCCCTAACACCGTGGGCGGAGCCACCGGGTCCGGCGCCGACCCGGAAGTATAAAAGCCCTCCTGCAGAGCTCAGTGGAGAACAAGCCGGTGGAGAGAGCAGACGTCTGAGGCCGAGCTCCCGCTTGGGAGACAGCAGCAGGCCGCGACCAGCCTGCTGACTCACCAGGCCAGCCAAGCCTATCCCTCACCCGTTACCCCGAGAAGGACTGGCCGAGCCTGCCCCTTTCCAGCTACCCAGAGGAGGAGCCAAGCCTGCCCCTTTCCCGCTATCCCGAGGAGGAGCCGAACCTACCCTTCGCTACCTACCCGGAGGAACCGATGCTGGTGGAGACCACCGAGGACACTAGTACGGCCCAGGTACCCTACGAGGGGGAGTGTGGAAGTAGCCCGGGGGCAGCTGACCCCAGACTGGCTGCAGCACTGCCAGAGCTTATGTCAGTGTGTTGCGGCCAGGATCCCCACTGACAGCAGCGAGTTTCCGCTGCTGCTAGGGCCCCGGGCTGGGACACAGTGCAGTGGGAGGGCCTGCGTCCCCCCTGCCACCCACTCTTTGCGAGGCAGACTCCCCCTTTCCCTGGCCTAGAGAGGCTGGGACTACAAACCCATTGACTCAGCCCCTGCTTAAGGGCCTGGGTCCCTGACTATTTGATTGCTGCCCCGCTCCGACCTAGGGCCTGGCCTGCTACAAACTCAGTGACTCAGCCCCTGCTTAAGGGCCGGGGATCCTGAACTATTGGCTTAGCCCCTGCTTCAGGGCCTGAGCCTCTAACCGTGTGTTTGCTGTCCCACACTACCGCCGGACCAGGACTGATGGCGGACCAGAGTGAGGCGGTGGGATACCCCACAGCCCTGCTGAGGGCTGAACCTCGGCCGAGACTTCTACAGGGGGTTTCAGGTCTTTCTCTTTGCATATACTGTAATGACTAATGTATATTATACATATTGCTCATTACAGTATTAATACAATTATATCCTCAATAGTTTTTGTAATGTGCACTAGGAAACTTCTAGTGTGCAACAGCAGGGTCTACCCGGACCAATTAATGTGCAATATGTTAGCGCGCTTTACAAGTCACATCCCGGTACTCCATGTTACTGTTCCGTGCACACAAGTCCTTAGATACAAATAACTATTTCTAGTGTTTTTCTGGTGTTAAACACCAATTTCATGTTTTTTTGTACTGGGGGTGTTTTATCTGCGCTTATTGGTTAAAACCTAAAATCACAACTAAATATGTTAAGGGCTGTTATAAAGAGGACAGTGATCAATTGTTCTCTATGTCCACTGAAGGTAGGAGAAGTAATGGGCTTAATCTTCGGCAAGGGAAGTTTAGGTTAGGTATTAGGAAAACTCTTCTAACTATAAGGATAATTCAATACTGGAATAGGTTATCAAGGGAGATTGTGGAATCCCAATCATTGGAAGTTTTTAAGAACAGATCAGACAAACACCTCTTGGGGATATAGATATACTTGGCTCTGCCTCAGTGCGGGGAGAAGGGGTTTACTAGATAACCTCTCAAGGTCCCTTTCAGCCCCACATTTCCCATGATTCTATTATTTCAGTCAATCATGTTCTGGCAATCTGCTGGCACCAAACTTTACCCCAATGAAGAGAGTATAGTACCTGATTCATTCAGAAAGTGAACTGCATGAGGAAGTTCATTTTCATCCAACTGTAACTGACTTTCTTGCACCAGTTCTAATAATTGCTTATGGTCAATCACAGGAAATTCAGTTGGAACATTTTCACGTTTGAATAAAATTATCTTCTCAAGTTCCAGATAGCTGTCTGGGATTAGCTGTCCTACTACTGGCTGGTCTCTGATCTGTGTAATTATGAATAATAATCTTAAAACACATTTTATTTAGTTTTTCTTTTAAATTTCAGACAGATGCATGCAAGATTTAAATTAAGCAGAGAACACAGGTAATCAATGTCAATAGAACAAAAAAAAGTTATCTGATGACTAACCACCGCTTTTTAAAGATTCACAAAAATAAAAAAATACTTCAAGATACATTATGAACATATTTTAAAAATTAATTTTTCATAAAGTACTTCCAAAATTCATTAATATACAAAAGTAAATCATTATATACCAGGCATCTGAAAAGATTGTGTTTTTCAAATCTTTCTTACCACAATAATCAGAGTTCAGCTAAATGTTAAAAAGATCTGAGTCAGGAATTCTGTATGTAAGTGAAGCATGCATACCAATGACTAAGGCTGTGAGTCTTTCACGGAAGTCACAGATTCCGTGACCTCCATGACTTCTGCAGCCGCTGGTGCTGGCTCAGGGGCCACCCGAGCTGGGAAGCCCTTGGGCCAGCAGCAACAGTTTGGGTGTGTGGGAGGGGGCTAGGGCAGTGGGTTGGGGGGGCGCTTACCTCGGGTGGGGGTGCTCCCCGGCTCCCATGGCCCTGCAGCTCCTAGACATCAAAGGGGCGGGGGAGAGGGGCTTCACACTGCACTCTGCTCACGCTTGCAGGTCCCACCCCTGCAGTTTCCAGTGGCTGCGGTTCCTGGCCAATGGGAGCTGCGGCAGCTGGCGCTTGTGGTGGGAGCAGCACACCTAGCCCCCTGACCTCTCTGCCACCTGGGAGCTGCAGGGACACTGAGCCAGGTAGGGAGCCCCTGCCAGTCTTTCCCCCCCAAGCACCAGCAGGGTTATTGGCCGTGCCACGCGGCCCACCCCAGCAACAGTGGGGGTACCGGGCTTCACCGCCCGCCCCCACACCAGCAGGGTCCCCCAGACCGCCCCTCCCCCAGAGCCCCGCCCAAGTTTTAGTCATGGGTATTTTTTGTAAAAATCATGGACAGGTCACGGGCCGTGAATTTTTGTTTACTGATTGGTTTCAGAGTAGCAGCCGTGTTAGTCTGTATCCGCAAAAAGAAGAACAGGAGTACTTGTGGCACCTTAGAGACTAACAAATTTATTAGAGCATAAGATTTCGTGGACTACAGCATATGCATCCGAAGAAGTGGGCTGTAGTCCACGAAAGCTTATGCTCTAATAAATTTGTTAGTCTCTAAGGTGCCACAAGTACTCCTGTTCTTCTGTTTACTGATTGTGACTTTTACTAAAAATACCCGTGACTAAAACATAGCCTTACCAATGACATACTTTCAGCAGTTTAGAATCCTAATGCTGTTCTACATATCTTAGAACTAATCATTGGGGCAAAATCCTGGCCCCACTTAAGTCAATGGAAATTTTGCAATTGGCTTCAGTGGGGCCAGGATATCATCCCCGGTGTTTACCTGGAACTAACCTAAACTGAAGCAACTATGATTTTTTAGATATCTATCAATAGCCTTTCAGATTCTTATATATGAAAAATGTTCACATAAGATTTGTTCCAGCTCTTTTTATCTTTCCCCTCTAGTTCGCCATGATCCCTTACTGGAATCAACATTAATGTTTTATTGAACCAAATATCTTTTGATATTACTCAGTGGTAACACATGCTTTTCTACCTTGAGGCTAGAGAAGAAATCATGAGTATTAATTTAGCTTCACAAACTACTTATCTAGTTAATAATCTTCCTCTGAAGACTCCCCCTCAAGTTCTTAAAATGCTTAACAACATGGTGCTGGATTTTATATGTGACAAGAAATATTATTACACCCTTGGAAGACTGACAGCCTTGGGCTACCTATTTTAAACTTAAATAACTTTACCTTTATCTTCCTACCTTTATCTTCCTACCTGTTTCCTCATGATTTTCCTTTCACAGAAGCTCTATAAAATATATAATTCCTCCTTTCTCCTTATAACTGCCTTATTTTTTATAATCAATGAAGTCTAAACACAATGCTAAATTACAGTCCTGATAGCCTCTGAAGTGTAAGGGTAGGAGGACCGCCTCTAAGAATTCTGCTTTCCTAAGGCAAAATATCTCCAGAATGCCGTGGAAAATATGGCGAGATGTGGGACTGCACACCTTTAAAAGGTGTATCCTGCATTCTCCCCAGTGCTTCTCTGTTGGTAGCTTACTGAAGTATAGGAGGTGGGTCTATTCTGTTCCACACAGACATACCCATTCTGGGACAATAAGCAATGGCTGGCTCCCATCCTGTACACTGTTGAACATACCTAACCAAATTATGGATGTTACTATGCTGGTACACTGTGGCAAAGGAGAAGAAAGGGGATTTTCCAACTTTTCCCCAGCATTTGGTGCACCAGCACAAAACTAGACATAAATATGTTACTTGGGCAGTTAGATCATTAGGGCAGGCACTGTGGGTGAAATCCTGCCTACAATCAAGCCAATGGGAGTTTCCAATGACTTCAGTGGGGCAGGATTTCTCCTTGTGTCTTTAAAGTATCATGTTCACTGATGGCACTACATAAACAATGCAGAAATAGACCCAAAAATAGAAGCTAGACCTTGTCTTCCCATTAGATTCTCTATCTTCATGTCTCTATATGAATAACCTTCTACACCCACTTCTAGGTGTAAAATCCTGGGCTCAATTTTCCACTACACCCGACCACAGCTTGGGCATAATGGAGAAAGAGGCTAACAGGGAGCCAGTTGCAACTCTCTCTCCTCCATGAGAACACCCTCCTCCTCGCCTCTGATCTACACACTGCTTCTCTACTCCTCTTGTCTCAACTCCCAACACATCTGGCCCCGACCTGACACACCCAAGCATGTTGTTGCGCAAGACATGGTGAAGCAGCTGGTGCAGAAAGCAACAGAGCTACATCCACTAGTTTTACACCAGTGGAGATTCTCCCTATATAAGGGAAATTCTCTAAGGGGTTTCTCCAGCTGATGTACATTTGCTTTTCCCTTCGTAACACATTTTTTAAACCGTGCAAATTGAAGTTAGTGGATGGGAGAATCTGGTCCCCCTATCTTCAGCATAACCTATTCTGAACTGCTGCTTTAAAATAACTCACTTCAACTTTATGAACTTTCCACTATCATCATTATCCTGGATTAACCTTTAGGACACAAAAGCATAGTCCTACAGCAAATCACAGTATCACAAGTTTAAGAATTTAGAAATGGCTGACTGCCAGCATCACCCAAACATTCTTCTGTCTCCCTTAATCTGTTATTTCTAACTGCAGTATGTTGCCGTTCAACCAGAGTGAGTAGCTGTTGATCAGACCAATCCAACAATCCATCAGAAAAATGTTCATCTATTTCAATTTAAATGTTTTATTTCTGATATCTTATATATTAACAAACAAAAACTATACTTA